GATGTTGATACACCCTGTGTAATGGTTTTGACATGTCTGGAATGAATCAATAAAAATCAAAAATCTAAATCAAATGTCTTGAACCACTTTGGTTGTGGCAGCTTGGGAGGATTCGACGGAGGAGAGGACAGTCCCCAGAAACCATCTTATCACCAGCAAACTGGTTGGTGCACTGTAATAGTGCGCTGCTTGGTGGGGAAACCGTTTGCTTGGGACTTCTCTGACTGATGAAGCCCTTCGGATGGAGGGCAAAACGTCTCAACAAAATAAAGAAGCTGTCCAGATAACCTGATTGAACATTGTTGGATACTTGGATTACTGAGCATGAACCTTGAAAATCCAACATGGCTAAATGGCTATAAAAGCCAATTTAAACTGGCCTTTTTGTTTTTGAAATATTGAGTTCAAATTTGGTATGTTGGTAGCCAAGAACAATCCATATGACATTCTGAAAGTTAATCTCAATTTTAAGATAAGAGCTAATGCTAATTTCAGAAAGAGAGATATTTCAGCCAATTTTAGACACATAAAGTTTAAAATTGCTATATAATAGTAACCAACGACAGTCTTCAACAAATTCTGAATGCTAATAAAAAAGGGCTGTAAGCTCAATCATCCAGGTAGATAACAATAAAAAGAAACAACAAAAAGATTATCATGCCCCCCCCCCCCATCCAGAGGACTTCCTCAGTCTATGCCTACCAACAAAATCAGTAGAGTGAGGAAGTCCTCTGGATAGAGGACGAAACGTTTCTCACTTAAATAAACTGGTCCAGATGACACAACTGAGCCTTTTTTTTTTGTTCTAATCAAAAACAGTATCAGCAGGAAGAGGGATCTCTGAGTTTCCCTCCTGCACCTTTTACCTCGGCAACCTGACTATAGGTAAATTGAGAAAAACAAATTCATTAATTAATGGAGTTGTGTTAAATTGGCAGCAGTCTGCTTTGGAATTTGTCTTTTTCTGACTATGACTGGTCAGGATTAAACTCCATTTGTCTAAACTGAAGTTGCATAAAATCAGGCCACATCAAATTATGTCAAAAATCTGTCCCCCTTGCAATATGAGTGAGCACAATATCAATATGAAGAACTACTTGGCCTGCAATAAACCACAGCTTATAATATTTCAAGCACCTTGCGTTCATGTTCTGCATGGCAATAATATATTTGGCCAACTCAGCAGACTCTTGCTGGCCTTGATTCCTCCACAGACAATAAAGTGAGAACTGAGGAAACTGTGGGGCTTTTGTAAATCACGTTGTCGTTGCAATATTAAAGAATGATGCAGAAAAACTGGTTCGTGCATTTGTCGCGTCTAGACTGGAATATTGCAATGTTTTATTATCTGGGTGTCCAAAAAGTCTTCAGTTGATGCAAAACACTGCTGCCAGAGTCTTAACTGGAGTTAGTGGGAGAGATCATAGCTCTCCAGTTTTAGCTTCTCTCCACTGGCTCCCTGCCAAGTCCAGAAATGAATTCAAAGTCTTACTTCTAACCTACGAAGCTCTCCACACCTTAGCTCCATCATATTTGAGATCTTACTTTTCCATATTTTCCTAACAGAGCACTTCACTCTCAGACTGCAGGCTTACTCGTGGTTCCAGCAGCAGAATGGGAGGAAGATCTTCCAGTTCTCAGGCTCCTCTCTTGTGGAACCAACTTCCAGTTTCTGTCCGTGAGGCTGACACATTGTTTAGTTTTAAGACTTTCCTTTTGTAAAAATCCTATAGCTAGGGTTGGCTTGTCATGCTGCTATAGACTACTAGAGGACAAATTGACCCCATTTCCTTAAATGAATTGTTAAAATTGAATAGTTTTCATTTGATACTATTTCTACCTAACATGTGATTCTTGACCTGCCATTGTGTAGCTGTTCCTCTCAAACCCAGCCGGTCGAAGCAGATGGTCGCTTCTCCTGAGTCTGGTTCTGTTAAAGGTTTCTTCCTCATGAGGGAAGTGTTCCTTTCCACTGTCGCCTTCATGCTTGCTCAAGATGAGTCTGTGATGGAGTTAAATTCAAAGCAGTCTGCTCCTCAGATAAATAACGTTATATTATATTATATTTCTGTGCAGCGCCCTGAGATGACTTCTGTTGTGACTCGGCGCTATAGAAATAAACTGAACTGAACTGAACTGTCACATGTTGCACAGGTTTTTCTAATTTTGTACAGGACTAGTTCTCAAACACATTTGGGGTATAAACTGTTGCAACCCTTTCACGCAGAACCCTACTGTAAAATATTTGAATTTCAAACTAACAATTCATATTTGATTTCCTTTGCTCTCATACTGGACCAGTTTATTAATCCGGTCTTTAAGACCTCAGCAACAGGACTGTGCCTCCTGAAGATGCATCTTTTTCTTTGGGCCAAGTCCAAAGAGGAGTCCTGGGGTTTTACTCCTACAGCTGTCTCCACCAGATGTCGCCATTGGAGACGCACCTGCAGATCCTTACCCTGATGAGCAGCAGGTGTATAAAGGCCCTGGACCACACCGCTCTAATGCTGGTGCTTTGTCTGCTGGATGGTAGTGTGTTCCTGGCCTTTTGCTGTATTCTCTAGAGTTTTGCTCATTCTAACTCCATTCTACACCTCACAGAATCTCCTGACACCCTGACCTCCTGTGTTCTCTGAGTGCCTCCTTCGTTCCCTCCTCGTCTTCCCCACTTGCTTAAGTTATCTTAGACTGTCCTGGGATCTCACTGGACTGACCCTGGAGTCATGCCCTGGAGTTTACCACCTTCTCCTCAAGCAATCGGACAGTTTATTATCATCATGCAGCCCCACTCGGCTCCTAACTGTTCCCTTGTCTTCAGGGATCCAGTCCCTCCCTCCAGAGGTCACAGTTCGACTGTTTGCAGATCACTCACTTGTAAATAAACACTGTTAAAACTGCTCCTGGTCTTGCGGTTGCTCTTACGATTCACGACTATTCTCTAGTAAATCATCAGTGTCGGCCTTTTCTTATTAAAATCTCTTGGATTGAAACCAGCATGAACCAGTTTACTACTCGTGTCTTTGCTTTCACACACGCACGCCCTGAACGCTTGTTTATTCTGACGCGCTCTCCGTCCTCTCCTCTTTTTATTCTTATTTTCAGTTCTAGGTGGAGACGCACCAGGAAAAGTTCGACAACGAACTTCTCCATGCAGGGTCTTCTGACAACCAAAAAGAGTCCCTCATGTAAAGGCTCAGCGGTGCTGCTCGGAGCTAAATGAGGAAACAAAGACGAAGAGCTCGTGCTCTGTCATCTTCAGGGAGATCAGTGTGTATCATTTGTGTCTGCAGACACATTTTTCATCTAATATTATACTTTAAGTCAGGCCATTTTGTGACTCGAGTCAACAATAAGTTCAGTTATGAGTCAAGTCCATCTTCCACTGCATTCATTAGCTGGGCCACATGCAGACACAACAGGTCCAGGAGAGAAACCCAGACATCCATCTCCCCAACAGTGTGCAGGACCTCTTGGGGGACTCCTAAGGAATTCCCAGACCAGATACTTGATCCCTTCAGCGAGTTCTGGGCCTTCTCGGCATCTTTCCCCAGTGAGATGTGCCCAGAAAACTTCCAAAGGTAAGCGTCCCAGTGGAATCCCAATCAGGTGCCTGAACCACCGTAACTGATTGTTTCTGATATGAAAGAGCTGCTCTCTTCTCCTCACCCTCCCTTCGTTCACCCATACCTCATGACCATAAAAGAGGGAGAAAATGTAAAGGGAGAGCTTTGTCTTTTGACTCAACTCTTCATCGTGACCAACTGAAGCAACGCCCTCATTACTAATAAGGAGGCCCCAATCCTGTGATCTATCTCCCACTCCATCCTACTATCACTCATGAACAAGATGCCTAGATTCCTCCACCTGAGGCATAGATCTCCCCCCACACCCCCTAACTGTGAACAATTGCACGCTGATGGTCACGAGGGCCTGACACTTCCAACAGAACCACATCATCCACTTAGAACGAAGACAAGACCTGAAGATTCCCAAACCAGACGCCTTTATATGATGAGATCCTGTCCATGAACACAACAGGATCGGGGTCAAAGGTGGTGGAGTCCAACAAACCTCAAGAATGAGCGCGACTTTGCGCCAGAAATGTACAAGTCCACCTAGGTCAAAATGGCTGCCACAGCTAACTGACCTAGACAAATTCAGCTGTATTGATTTCAGCTCACACATTTTCACAGGTAGAGATAAAATGAGGAGAACGTCATCTCCAAACACTACAAGTTGTGCAATAACTTTGTTTAAAACTTTGCTATTTCCTGTTTTTAAATCTTCTCTGAAGACACTTTTATTTTCTCGTTGGCTTTTAACGCAGCTTGAAATGTTGGTTTTACCGGTTTTTAAGTTATTTGTTTCGTAGTTTTAACAGTTCGTTACTTTTATGGTATTTGTTCAGTTTATTTTTTTTAATGCTTGTATGTGTTGGTGTACAACACTATGGTCAACGGTGTTGTTTTATAGCGCTTTATAAATAAAGTTGCATTGTGTTGTTAAAGTCAACTGTTTCTGTCTGTTAGCAAAATATCTTCCAAACCATTAAAACTTTGTCCATCACCTTGAAGATGGCTGCAACAACTAACAGAGATTAAACATGAAAATGGCTCCAAGCCAGTCGCATTCAGCTGAAATGTGGTGGTAGTAGCTGAGACTCATTCAGATTACAACACTGAGCTCAACATGACGTGATGTTTTTAGTCTAAAACTTTGGCCTGAAGTGCGGCGGGCGATATGCATGCCAGTTTATTTTCTGTAAGAGCTGTGTCTGATCCTCCTCGTGTCTCGTGCTGTCAGAGTGTTCTCTCAGCATCCGTCAGGTGCAGCAGCACCTCATCCTCTGCAGCAGACCGTCGGGGGGGGGAGGAGTTACAGCCAGGTCACCCCCCCCATTTTACACTACAGCTCTGGTGGTGGGGAGGGAGCGCGCAGCCGTCCATCACCGCGCACTGCTTCAAAATATGCTCCAAAGAAGCTGCTGCGCCTCCACACGCAGGACAGCTCTCCCTCCGCGACCGGCCCCCGCTGGAACCGGAGACCCCCTCTGAGCCCGCGCGGCTCCTCGGTGAACTATTTTCGTCTCTCCACCCACCCCCCCCAATCCCCACCCCCCCAGCTTCTCTCCTGTCTCCCCCTCCGTCTTCTACGCTGGATCTTTCGAGCCACAGAATGTGCGTGGAGAGCGACGGCTGCGAGCTGGAGGGCTGCGGTTTGGACGAGGTGCGCACGCTGTCGGGCAGCATGAGTCCCGGACTGAAGCCGGACCCGGACCTTCGTCCCTGCAAGCCGGGCCAGAAATTCCGCGCAGCGCTGCTCCGGTGCCGCACGCCCGCCGTGGCCGCGGGGATCCTGAGCTTTGGGAACGTCCTCAATTACATGGACAGATACACGGTGGCCGGTAAGACTCCGACTTCACGATCACCAGGTTGAGAGGAGCAGCTTCTAGTTCTAGTTGACTGTGCGCTCGCTGGCGGGCGGAACAATGGAGCTGTGCGCTCCGGGCGCGCGGCCGCTCGGCTCCGTCTACATGTCAGGATGATCACACACTGAACACCCGAGCCGAAGGTTCGAGTCCTGCTGGACTCACTCCGATCAATTAATGTCGAACAGATCTCTGTCCGCCCACCAACCTGCCTGCTGCATGCTTCCACTGTGTGCGTGTGTGCGTGCGTGAGGGGGTCCATCTGTCAGACCACTTTCATCTACTGGCAAAATGACAACCAGTCACGAGCTCGTGCTTGTTTATTGTGGGAATCTTTATGATGATGATGCTTTGCCCCGAAGGCGGGCGATAGTATTTTTGCCCGCGTCTCTGTGTGTGTTCATCTGTCTGTTAGCAAAATATCTCATGAACCACTGGACGCATTTGAATGATATTCACAGTGGGTTTACCTGAACACACAAATCATTTAAAAAGCTGTGGCAGGGGTGGATCAGTGGTTAGAACAGTCGTCCACCAGTCCAATGGGAGAGTTGTGGGGTTCAATTCCACCAGCAGTCACATGCTGAAGTGTCCCTGAGCAAGACGCTGAACCCCTCAGTGCCTCTGATGTGTGTCCCGTCAGTGTTTGAATGTGATTAAGCTCTGATTAGTCTCTGTAGAGATCTAGTATAGAGCTGTGTGAATGGGTAAATGAAGCACAGATTGTTGTAAAGAGCTTTGAGTGTCTCGATCAGACAGAATGGTGCTACAGTTCATTTAAGTGCTTAGGTTTTGGAGCCAGCCCAATTGAAAATGGCTGCCACAGCTAAGCGATATTAGCAAACACAAGAACAGTAACAGCTCAGGTGATTTCTATAAGTGTTGAATAAAACTTGGGTGTGGGAGTAGCTGAGACTGATTTTCAACTTTTGCTCAGAGCACCAACTGATGGAGCGAGATCTGTTTTAGAAATTCTGACATTTACTAGTCGAGTCCACGCTGTTATCACGTTATTAAATAAACCGCTGGATGGATTTGAGTGAAACTCTCAGCGTAATCACTGGATGTGCGAGGGATTAGGTGATGGAGTCGACTCGTTCAAGACAGTCACGTCGGCTCATTGATCTTAAATAACGCAAACGTGGCTCAGTCAGCTGAACAGACATTGAGCTAAAGTTTGACCTGGTAGTAGCTGAGGGTCATCCCCAACACATACTTGAAGCACGCATCGATCATGCAGTAAGGCACGAGATAGAACATGACTTCATTGACAGTTTTGATCAAAGCGAGAACCTCGTTTCTCACTGTTCCAGCTATCCCTTGTAGAGAAGAGACTGATTTGGGTTCAGGGTTGAAAGCTGTGCTCAGTGATCCGTGGTGCTGAATGCGTTCAGACGTCGCTGCAGCGCGGATCTTCTCGGTCCGAGCGCCTCGTCTCCTGGTTAGAATACAAACGTCTCGCTGACTCACTGACCACATGTGGCTGCGCTGCATGAAAATAAAATGGCTCGCGTCGCATATTTACAGCTCGCATTAGTCGTAACGCTCAGCTGTGAGTGTTGTACATGAAAATAACTGCAAGAACACCCCCCCCCACCACCACCACCACCACCACCATTACCCCCAAGTAGCCACAAGAGTTCATCACCCCTGACCCCTTCAGGTCCAGTCTGTCAGCAGCAGTGCTTCTTGCAGAGCTGCCTCTATCTAATCTTAGCATCTTCAAGCACCGTTCAGCCGTTCAGCCCCAGCAGGTAGGAGAAAAACAAACCCTTCTACCTCCTCCTCCTCTTCCTCCTCTTCCTTCTCCTCCTCCTCCTTCTCAGTCATTGATGAGTCAGTCCCACTCTACAGCAGCGATTTGTCCTCCTCTTTCCCTGCACCTCCTCACGCTTTGATCAGAGGGAAGCCCTCATTAGGCAGCTCCCCCCCCACACACCCCCCTATCTGAAGGGATGTCTATCAATAGTGACTTCCTTTTGCACTGTGACAACAGTCAACGTGCACAGAGCATGGAAAGAACACGCCTGTCAGCTTTTAGTTACATTTTAATCTTTATTAACCAACATTTTATCCAAAACAGGAAGTTGGTGTAGAAGAACGCTTCAGCAGTGAATGACACTGATTCATTCAGCGACCTGCGTCGTTGATTTATATTATAACTAGGGACAGGAAGTTGAAGCCACAAAGGATGAGCGCCCTCTAGAGGCTGGTTTAAGCCCCACCTGCTCATATAAACACAAGGAACATTTTTCTGATTAAAAGAATTAAAATAAACTTCAGATGTTTTTTTTTTTACTGTTGTTTTCTGTTGATTCACGTGTATTAAAATATGTTTAACAAAGTTCAGGTCATCTGGACGGTTTCTTTTGCTGCTGAGACGTTTCGTCCTTCATCCGAAGGACTTCTTCAGTCTGTTCACTTCTTCAGTTCTTCAGTTGACGGGGGAGAGGGTGGGTCATCTTATTACCAGCAAACTGTTTTTTTTTCCCACTCTGGGAGTGAGCTGTTTGTGGGATTCAGTTTGGTTTGGTGGCTCCTCAGGCTGAAGAAGTCCTTCAGATGAAGGATGAAACGTCTCAGCGACAAAAGAAACCGTCCAGATGAGCTGACTGAACATTGTTGGATTTATATCTGGATTAATGAGCATAAGCTTTGGTGAAATAAGTTTAGTTTGAATTAGTTGTGGCTTAAAGGGAAGCGTCCAGCTGCACTGTGGTCGACAGTGACAGCCTGTTAGGGCCTCACGTCTCCTGTGCACAGATGATGGCTTCAAAAACACAACATGGCGGCACGCAAAACAAAAAACAAAACAAGGCTTTGGCTTCAATTCAGAGCAACAGAAGAAGACAGAGACTCTGTCCATCTTTGTTAACGTGTCTTAAATACGTTCCTGTACATGAACGTTCAGTTGAACAATCGGTGTCGAGCTAAAATTTAGAGGTTTAATGTCAGCTGATGTAACGTCTTTGTTCTAGTTTGTTCTCTGTTCTCTCTGATAAAGAGACAAAGAACTACCGACACACATTTTACAGAACATCACTCGAACACATCACCAGACTGTCCCTTAGAGGGAAGGCAGATGAGGAGAAGAGTGGGAGCAGAGAGGAGGAAGGAGCATGAAGTGGGATGATGGATTCATCATCTTGGCCTTGGGGAGGGGCTGTAGTGCACAGAGTGGTGATGGGGGAAGGGGCTCCTCACCGCTGCTGGACAGTGTTACATCCTGTGTGGACTGCGTGTGCATCAGAGCCACACCTGCAGGGAGGACCAGAGACCTTCGCCTGCAGCTCCGTTTCTCCCTCCATCCCTCGTTAAGCTCCTGCAGTGGGAGCTGCAGTAATTAGCCAGGGGGTGAGGGTGGGGGTGGGGTGGGGGGTTCAGCAGTGCATCTGTTGCCAGCACGCCGCCTGCTTTGAGGTGCTACTTTTCTTCTTTCTTCTGCACCTGATTCAGCAGCAGGTCCCCAAGTCGTAGATCTTAACGTCAGTTAACGAGGAGTCGCTCTCTGCCATGTCAGGGCGGGCTGAGTGTGTTGGGAGCAGTGAGGGGAGGGGCAGGCTGCTGCAGTGGCTGCTGTCAGAGGCAAGTGGAGGCAGAACACCCCCACCCCTCTTTCCCCCTCTTTTCAATCAACGTCAAAAGGTCTTTGTACAAACAGCCATTACTGTAGAGTGTGTGGATCACTACAGCATTGTCAACAAGACAGGGTGACCATTCTGGACACGGGGGCTATTCTGATCTGCAACAATGATGGGAAAATGTCTCTCACCAATGCACAACAGCTCTGGTGACAGAATGATCCAACCGGCTCGGAGAAGACCCCCCCCCCCCCCCCCCACCCCCACAAAAAAAAAACAGCACCCAGAAACTCTACTTCATGATTTCAGCATTTCAGTCAATCAAGAGCTATGGACAAGTGGAGAAGACTTTTTGTCTTTTTGTCTTCCACTGCTGAAAGACCTTTGTTCTCTTTGCCTCTATCAGTGCATGTGTGTTTGGCTTTTAGCAAAAATATCTCATAAACCACTGGACGGGAAAGTTGCAAAGTTAATCGCTAAAAATACATCGACAATTGGAGCCACTACAATTCAAGATGGCTGCCTCGGCTAACAGTGGCCAACACAGAAAGAATTCGACCTGGGTCAGTTTTACAGATGTTGAGCTAAAGTCTGAGGTGGTAGTAGCTGAGAGCCATTTACAAAACATACTCTGAATGTGACTTCCTGCCATTTTACAAACTGGGATTACACACAAGCAAACCAGTTTATGTTGGATGGACTTAAAACCAGTATGTTGGTTTTTCCCCAACACTTCAATATTTACTGCGTCCTCGTTCTGGAGCGGCAGCTTCCAAACATTCGTTTTAGGAGACGTAAGCTGCTGCTTACTGGAACCCATGTTTTAGATCTCAACATGGTCGGACTCACGGGGAAACAAGTTTAGTTTCCATTTCACCAAACATTCAAACTTACACGATTACTTTCAGTCTGGAACGCAAGTGAATTATACAAGTTTTCCATCACTTTACCCTCGTGCCACATTCTTCCTCAGCTGTTTCTGTCAATTTCTTCTTCTCTGGTGTAATGTGGTGTGTTCGGCTGTAGTCATCAAAGGCCACCAGGGTTCACGTTTTCTGCTGGTTTTCTTTTGTTCCTGTGTGGTTTATCTCAGACACACTTACTGCATGGACCAGAACGGGCACAGAAAGTGAGACGGACGTTAGGTTTCGCAGGCGCAGAGGCAAACGAGGGTGTGAAAGAGCTGAGCTGTGCTCTGTGTGCCACATTCAAGATGGCTGCTGCACACAGCTCAACCACCGCAGCCAACACAAAAAAGGATAGAATCTGGTAAACTGACACGTTATCATTCAGAAATTTGGTTTAGTTGTAGCTTTAAGTCATCAAATTACAGTCCAAGTGCTGATTGTTTGATATTTGCTTTAAAATGTTGAGTCAACACTGTCAGTCTGTTAG